GAATTCATCACCCTGCTAAATAGGTATATTGGTTGGTATTCCCACCTTCAGCATGCTACCTTGAGAAGCCACCATGAGGAGAGTTCTCCCTTTGCTTCCTTCCTCACCAGCCATTACTACATTCACCTCGCCAAAACATCATCTAGATAAGTGCCTGCCCATTTACTTGAAATTGTTGGTACATTAAAGCGAAGGTTCATGTACAAGAACCCAGAAGTACTTGTTTCTAGAAGAACAAGTGGTAATTGATACTTTGAACACACTGTCTCACTCTTGGTCCAATAAACCTTCGGCTCGACTTTAACAAATTTTTGTTTTTTGAGTGACTTCTAAATTTTTTATAAAAATATTTGTCAATCCTTCTCACCTCCCACGGTCTAATTTGAACATATTTGTTGAACGAACATGAAGGAAAACAAATCTGTTGTAAAACTTTACAAAAATTTTAAAAAACATTAGTTCAATTTTCTAATAAAATTGTTATTGGAAAGAAAGGTATGTTGGTAAATATGACCAAGTTCATGCATCCATAAAATGTCAAAACCATTAGCTGTCAAATTTCATAAAAAAAATGTTTAAACGAAAGTCGCTGTCATCGTCTTCTCAACCAATAACAATTCCAGAAAAACCAACATCACCTACAACACCATCACCAAACGAAAATGATGCCTATCGTAGATCCCAATCCGTTTCATCAATGTCAAATGCCAACACTGACAGCTCATCACAAGAATCAAATACAACAACAACAACAACAAAGCGAGGAACCCTCACCATTACCAGTAGTTCTGCACTATTAACTGAATTAAATAATAATTTAGCCAATGCTGCTAACATTTCGTCTACTAATTCGTCCAACAACATTTCGTCTAATTCTTCCTCTTCTTCGAATAATACCCTAAAAGAAAGAAAGAAAAGTCTTTCATCATTGAAAAGTATGCTCACTCCAAAGAAATTATCTTCATCTTCCTCTAATATTTCTCATCAATTGAACAATGAACAACATGAAAATGATAAAAATTCATCACTTTTAAATATGAAACCGAGAGAAAGTTCAAACTCAAGTTTGGGATCTGCACTTGTGAAAACACCTTTACATTTACTTTTTCCATCAAAAACATCATCTTCTACTTCTAAAATATCAGAAACTGGATTATCTGGAACTGGTGATTTTTCTGACACGGATGATTTGTCAGAGGTTGGAACAGATATTAGTGAAGATCATGATTTGAAGGAATTAAAAGATAGTATTCAAGGATTTGAAAAGGAACTTTCTCAATTGAATACAATGTCATCCTCTCCAAAATCAATTTCACCAACCACAATGAACTCTACAGAATCAGGTAGCGTTCCAAAAGCAAGTATTAATACATTTACATCAACATCGACTAGTGGAGCAACTGCTACCACTCCAACTAGAGGAAGGGCTGTATCAGAAGCACAAAAGAAAAAGAAGAAGGATGATGAGATGGATGTTTTGAGTTCCTT